AGTGGATTTCTACTTACGTGAGAGGGATTATATTATGCCAAGCATTACTGTAACTTTCATTGGAAAAGTTTCTGTTTTTGCTCTGTGGTAAGAACGCTGTCTGGACTTCCCCTTCATTTCTGAGTGATAGTTTATGGTCAATTTGGCCTCTTTTGCCTTTATTCTTCTCAACAAGTAGAAAAGGGTACTCTTGACCGAAGTTGCCTCGCTTTTTTGTAAGCAGGATCTTGCGTCACCTCTGTAAACCACTCCCCATTCCCGCCTAGGCTGACTTTTAGAGTGCGCTAGATGCACTATCAGCAGCATGCCGCTTATTTCTTCTTACCTCGGGTTCAAATTTTAGCACGTGTATATGTTTGGCTTTACTGTTGTTTGTGCAATGTCGATGTTTTCGCTTTTATGGGCGTGTCCTGATGCGACATGCACATCAATGTCCTTACTGATGCTACGTCTCATTTGCCAGCATACACCAAATGATCAGCATCGTTCAGATCTATCACTTGCTGTCTATTCAGGTTTACAGGCAAACAATGTCATACAGAACACATTAATCTACCCAACGGAACGAAAAAAACAATAAATTACTGTTTCCGACACGTCATAAGGGTAATTAAGATATCTGTTGTACTTTTATTTCAGACTGCCAGGTGGCGCTGCTCATATCAAAATTTTGACGCAAATTTATTGACCCGTTGCTTGGTAACGGAGTGACGTGAGACAAAACCTTTCCCAGAGATTGTTAGGGGATGTATATTCTTTCATTTAAGACACAATTATTAATAATCAATGGTTATTATACCTAATCATATTCTTACGTACATATCGAAGTGTCAACATACTGTCATTTGTTATTGGTAAATCTCCCATATAAAGCTTGTGAACATAGTTTTGGAATAAATCACTGATTGTTTGGTCCTTTAAAACAAGAGTTTTAATCTGGGGACTGATTGATGGGTCTTTTTTTTAAATTCATTTTTACCTTCGCCAAGAAGGTTATGTTTTCAGTAGCGTTTGTCCGTCTGTTTTTCTGTTTGTCTGTGAACAGCATAACTCAAGAAGCCTAGTATGCATTGTCATGAAACTTGGTAGGTGGGTAGGTCTTGAAAAGACCTAGAAATGATTAAATTTTGGGCCCCCTGGCGGCTTTTGTTGGTACTGCAGCAGAACTTCCGGTTTTGATATCTCGCGATCTGGACATGCTAGGGTCACGAATTTTGGTTGGTAGATAGCTCTTGGGGTAGGGAAGAAGTGACATGAGTTTGGACCCCCTAGCGGCTTGTTCTGGAACTGCAGGAGCATTTGTTAAAAATTTTTCGATGGACGATAACTCAAGAACCTGTTAACGGATTGTCGTGATTTTTGGTATGTAGGTAGCTGAAGTGATGCTTGACATAATCAAATGACAATTATGCAAATCAGGAGCTAATTTGCATAATTAATGAGGGAATTCTATAAATCTGCTTTGTTCGATAATAAGACTATGAAACACTAGTGACATGTAATTGAGAACAAAAAAAACATCTGAGGATATAGATTATGTAAATGAAGACCTGATTTGCATAATTAATGGGAACTTTTTATAATTTCATAGTTGTAACTTTCATACTTGCCACACTTGGAAGTTAAGTGAAGGCGAACATCAATAAACATAATTTATTCAAATCATGACCTCATTTGCATAATTAATGAGGAAGTGTTATAATAGCTTTTTTGTTAAGATAAGACTGTCATTGGGTGGAGAATATGATCAACTGATAGAATCCATGGAAATGAGGATCTTATTTGCAAAATCGATTAAAATTGTATAATTCGTCAGCCGCCAGGGTAAACATCATTTGGCGAAGGTATGAGATCGCGGAACTCTTGTTTTTATTTATTTCATTAGAAAAACAAAATCATGGCACAAGAAAATTAATGACGTACACGTATGACCACAAAACTGATACATAAAACCGGCAGACAATAAACAGTAGAAATAATGAGAAAATAATGAGAACGGACAAGTCTTGGAGACAGCCCTATATAGTGGGTCACTCAAGATTACTCTACTTCGTATACAACACATTGTACACTGTATTTCATCGTGCAATGAGTTGTTTGACAAGACTGTATTCTTACCAGAAGCTGGTAGACAGGCATGGTTGTTGTTTTCGCCCACGACCTGAATCAAACGGCATGAAAACATGTCAACATTCAAATCATGTAATAATCGAGTTAACTGTGCCTGACCTTTTGCCCATTGTGATTCTGCCTGGAACCTTCCGTCAACCTACTCTCAGGTCCACGCCATTTCATGTAAATAAACTTTTGTACTCCGTAAATAATTTCATCAGGTTGGTAAACGAATGAATAGCAAAGTTCTTTGATCAAAACCATTTATTTTTCACGAGCCGACGTTTAGATGACCGTCTGTCATCTTCATCAGGGCAATTCTGACTGGTTAACTGTGCACTGGCGCTAGATGTTATTCGGTGCATAGTGTACTAGAGGTGTTACATAGTTCACAGTGCACTGTTACTTGGTTCACAGTGCACTTAAGCTAGTTTTTACTGTATTTCCAAACACAGTGCAATTGTGACAAACATACTAGGCATTGTTACATCATGGGGGCATATGAGGTTTAGTGCACTAAACTATGTAACACCTTTAGTGCACTATGCACCAAGTAACATCTAGTGTCAGTGCACAGTAAACCAGTCAGAATTGCCCTGATGAAGATGACAGACGGCCATCGAAACGTCGGCTCGAGAAAAATAAATGGTTGTGATCAAAGAACTTTGTTATTCAACCTTTTGTACTGTCTTTAGAACTGTCTTTCTGTCTTCCATTCGTCCAAGTGAAGTGTCAATTTGCGTGCAGACACACAGACAGACACACAAACACACAGCCCAGCCACCCAAAAAATGTCCTGAAGTAATAGACTAAGTGTTAACTCCGTACATGAAAAATGAGTGGCCATACACATAAGGTCAGATACATGACAACAGATGCATTACAGCACAAATATGTAATTGCACCACATGTTCCACTGACCGATACTTTATTGTGACATAGGAATTGATTTATAATTATGATTTATGTATCTATAAATGACTATTCTTCTACATATATGTTAAAACCTAAGTGATATAAGGTTTGTACGACGTAAGATTTTCATAGTTTGTACGATTGTAAGATTGTAAATACCTAAATTTGTTGAACCAAAGTGATATCATATTAATCTGTAGATTCCGACATGATTATAATTTGTATTTCTCTACTATTAATTAATGATTTATATTGTTAACAAACATCAGAATCCAGCCCTGTATGCCAAGGCTGCGAGATATGTTGTTGGTATGTTGATACAAATAAACCAATAAATTACCTGGACAAATACACTGACAGTTGTGCTAGAAAATAGAGGTGGATAGCCTTTATCCATAGCCTGAACTTCCAGGCTGAATTCGTCTCTACCACCGAGCGCTTCATAGTCCAGTGATCGTGTCAGGTTCATGATGCCACTGTCTTCATCAATGGTGAAAATACCTCGCGTATTTCCCTTAACAATGGAGTACAGGATGTCTTGATTGGTACCTTCATCGTTGTCAACAGCCTGCAGGATCACAACATATTACAAGTGTGTCATCATCATCATCATCATCGTAAGTAAGAATCTATACATTTTTAATTAAAACGACAAGATTACAACGATGATATTCCTCCGTGAAATCTTGTATGTCTTGTTGAAATGTATTTGTAGTTTGCAAATACAGTTTTGATCATTGATGACTAATCCTATCTCTTTATGGAGTACATGATTACTATAGAGATAATATTTCACTACAGAAAAAATGATTTAGTAGTTAACTCTGTCATTGATAGCCTGGGTACCATCCGGATTTTCGCTACGCAACGCTCGAAAAAATCACCTGGGTACCATCCGGATTTTCGCTACGCAACGCTCGAAAAAATCACTTTTTCGAGCGTTGCGTAGCGAAAATCCGGATGGTACCCAGGCTATGTCATTGACCCAATGACCTGGAATATCTGACACAATGTTGATACAACAATATTTCTTGCAACTTTAAACTTTTTCTCAGTCTAGCGACTAACAAAAATAACTAACAACGTTGTAACGCAGATAAGGAAACAAACGGAGAAGAATTTCTCCAGTAAAAGGAGATGATGAACACAACCAATAGATATTATCAAATTCCATTTAGACACTGTAGAACATGGTGATTTTTACCAGTATCTGTAGTGCCTGGCTAGTTTCTACAACGTTATCTCTAACAAAGATTTTCCAGTGGTAGGATCTGTAGAAGATTGGCGTCCAATCATTGACATCCGTCAGGGTGATTTGCAGTTGTGCGTTGGATATCCGTCCGCCGCCATCCTCCGCTAGCAAGGTGAGAAAGTAGAGCGGGATGGTCTCTCTGTCCAACTCACTGCCCTTGGCAACTGTTATCTCCCCTGTTAGGTTGTTGATAGCAAACCTGAAAAATGCATTCTGTGATGAAAATGAAATTTCCAAAGAAAGACGAGATCTTAACCGGGTTGAAGAAGAGACAGAGGACGTCTCGAAAGCTTCCAGTGTAGCTAAACTTTTATTGTGTGTTCAAGTATAAATAATTCGTCAAAAGCAAAGCCTTTTTAGCTTCATCTCTGAGAAAAGAGCTTGAAAGACCATTTGCCGTCCACGTTATGCATTTGTATTTCTTGTCATAAAAGCAGCAATACAACTTACCTGTCACATCCACTCCCTTGCAAGCTGTACTTAATTATACCAAATTCACCAGAGTCCAGATCTGTTGCCTGTGTGTTGACAATAAAAATAAAAAATAAATAAATACCAAGATCCTCAAATTATATCTAAAACTTCAAGAAACCAGACTGTAATGAACTTCTTTAAAAGTAACTGGTAATACTGATAAATAAAACAGTTCCCTACCATGATTGTTCCCACTACAGTCCCGTCTGGAGAGTTCTCGGCTACAGTCAGGTCGTATTTAGCCTGGTTGAACACTGGAGAGTTGTCGTTGGTATCCTCTAACGTCACCAGAACTGTGACATTACTGCTCAAATGCTCAGCTGCCAAATCTTCTCTTGCAGTGACCTGAAATTTAACACTAGTTTAAGGTACTGCATAACTTCACAATAAAACATTGAACCTGATATTATGGAAGTAATAATTCATATTTTTATGACAAGAGTACAAACAATGTATACTGGCGTCTTTTCACCGTTAGTAATTTTTTATTTCTTTCTATCTTTATTTATTCATCTTGTAGACACATGGGTGGTCCCTTCAGCCCCTTGGGCTGATTTGCAAGGGAGCACAATATAGAAAATGATGTAATATAAAATAGTAATAATTAAGCGTAACATTGAAATCATCAATCAAAATACAAGATCAGTCAGAGATGAGATAACAGAGGTCAAGGTCCAAATAATACAAACTTAGGAACAATAGATCATAAATAATAAAGTACTTGAACATAGTAGTAATAAACCATATATACAAAGCAAGCAAATAACAAAAAAATACTTAAATCATAATCGGTCATTGTTCGAAAGGAGTCAAGTGTCAGGAGTTCAGTACTAACCATATTTCAGTCTCTCTTTAAATGATTAAAGGGTGGGTGCTTGTATTGTGTAAGTGTTTGTAAATTGTAAGTTACTGCCGCTCTATATGCAAATGTACGTTGGCCTGCTTTGGATGTGTAGTTTGGTCTGTGTAATAATTGTGCTTGTCTAGTGTGGTAGTTGTGTATTTGGTTGTTGTAAGTGAATAGACAACCATTATTGATAAGGTCATGGCAACAACTTTTCCCGAGGCGGAGAACGTTTGTGGGCAGGCAGACTGGCGGAGTAAGGGAGTGAGTGAGTGAGCGATTGTCGGATTGAGTGAGTGATTGAGTGATTGGGTGAGTGGGTAATTGAGTGAGTGAGTGCGTGATTGGGTGAGTGAGTGATTCAGTGAGTGAGTGAGTGATTGAGTGAGTGGGTAATTGAGTGAGTGATTGGGTGAGTGATTGATTGAGTGAGTGGGTAATTGAATGAGTGATTGAGTGAGTGAGTAAGTGATTGAGTGAGTGGGTGGGTAATTGAGTGGGTGATTGAGTAAGTTAGTGATTGAGTGAGTGATTGAGTGAGTGATTGAGTGAGTGAGTGAATGAGTGAGCAATTGAGTGATTGAGTGAGTGAGCGATTGATTGGGTAATTGAGGGAGTGAGTGAGTGAGTGAGTGCAAAATTGCAGATGAGTGAACGTTACCACATCAAAAGTTGATTTTAGAAAGTACAGTGCAAGAGGACATACTTTGAACTGCACAGATTGTAGTGTCTCATAGTCCAGAAGTCCGGAGTTCTTGACTCTGATGCTCACTACAGCCTGTCCATAAACAGTACTCGGCACCACCTGGAAATACTTGCTGCCTTCTTCATCAAGGGTCAGGGTGAACCTCCCATTGTCACCCTGAAAGGACGCAAGACATACAGATCAAGTTTATTGCGCAAAAATGGACCTATACCATCATTACGTCACGGTTTGTTTACCGCAATGTCGGTCAATTGACGTTTATATTGTACAGGGGTGCGTAGCGCGGAGTGTGTTTGTTTAGCTTTAGCCTTAATATAAGGTCTTTATACAGTACTACTTTTGTCTACTGTCACAACTAAATCACCCATTACGGCATGTAATGCTGTGTCAACAAAACTAGACGCAGCAAAAATCAAACATAGCTGACTTTGAAAACTTTAAAATGATCTTTATTCTTTAACTGACCGTTCTAGAATGTTTTTTAGAACAGGTAAACAAACTGTGACATGATAATGGTATAGCTCCATTGCATTGAATACAAAGTATGGCAAATAACAATAACAATAAACTATTTCTACTGGTGTACTAATCTAACTTCAATACATGTATATATGTTATTATGGACTGTTACATTTCACATTGCTGTGACACTGTTTCTCTCTTGTATAGCATTATGTACGTATTGGCCTAGATAAACAGATACAGAGTCGGGGCATGATAACAGCATGTTGAAAATTTCTCTACTTGTTCCAGGTAGTGTTATTTTACTCTTACATGATATCATTAGTTTTTTTTTCTTTTCTTCGTTATAGTAGGGACATATCATTTCAAAATGGTACTCATATTCAACTTTGTCTTTGCAGGCAGGGCACATTCTTTTCTCGGCTGGTATCTTTTTGTGACGACCCTTCTCAATTTCTAAGCAATGTGCATTAATTCTCATACATGTACGTGTTATTTGGAAACTCACAACATAAATCTAGATATAGTGCTAAACCACAAGCACACACACATACATACATACATACATTCAGACAACCGCTACCAAAAACATAACCCTCTGGCGAAGGTAACAAGAAGAAGCTAAATGCTAGTTTTCGGCCGGCTGCTTTTCAGAACTTCCATAGCCTCGGCTACAGCAGTAGCTGTAATAAAGGGTACTCCCGAGGACAGAGTGAGAGCACAAGGGGTTGGGATTCCAGTGTTTGTGTTAAAATGGACTTGGTTGCCTTACTTGATAAACGACGACCAACAGTAATAACTGGCATGAAACATGCTCTTCATGTATACAAATTATAATTCTCTAACTTTTCTGTTAACAATTTTGTTATGGATTGTCCACTACATAACGATAAACGCACAAAGCTGTTTAACCTTCTCTCCGTCAAATTCCACAGAATATGTTACATTTGATGCTATAGATAAATTTAATTTCATCCTAGAAGGTAATGACGTTAACCTTTACTGTGTACAAATAGGCAAATATATGAAAGAATGTTTAGACCTTGGAACAAGTAGTATTAGTTCACTCATCTATTGTTTTGAACGTAGGTTAATTTTGTTGTACCCATTTATATTTGTCTGTAACATCTGTGTCCATAATATCACCAGGGTCCATAATATCACCACCCTGAGAAACAGTGTAGTTAAAGATATTTTTACTGCAACATACTTTTGGTATGCACTCCTGCACACATCAAATGTACATACCTAGGGTATGTTGCAGTAAAAATATCTTAAAGCACACTATTTCTCAAGGTGGCGATATTATGGACCCTGGTGATATTATGGACACAGATACATGTCTTAGACCTTACGAAAGTTGTTGTACTTTTGTTGTGTCAATACCAAAGTGTTGAACTCTATTAATGCCAGTCATCTGACCATTTTTACCTCATCGTTGTCCTCCACCCTCATGTCCAGACCTCCCAGGGGAATACCAGCTGACGTGCCCTCGGGAATAGTGGCTGTGAAGTAGTCCTGGGGGGAGTCTCCGCTGCCGTTGTAAAATGTTGGGATCTGGTCATTCACGTCAACCACAGTGATGTGCACACTTCTGTTTGCCGACCTAGACCAGAAGCTGTTTTCTCTGGCCTGGAGATGAGTTCAGAGTGTACCATGTCATGCCACTAGATAAGACCATGATGATTTGACTGTAGTCATTTGTTCAACCTTCATGACCACGTAGATTTCATGATGAAGACAACGTTTTTGCCAAACTTTTTTATTGGCAGTTTTGGGGTTCACGGGGGATGTCATCCATATGTCATATCCATATCCAACCAAATCAACGTTAACATGGCCCAGTCGTATCTAAGTGTGCTCAGCACTGTGAGTTTGTAGTGAGGGAAGACCAGACACGAGCAGGATGGAGGGTGGTTATCGGTGGTCTATGGCCAAAGTAAGCACTAAATAAGTAATGCAGATTTATGTTCACTAAATGTCCATATGTTCATAAGATGCATTTCAGTGTGCCACACCAAGGTAAAAAGAAACTCAAGGAGCTTAGAGAGCTCGCGAGGCAGAAGACACGGTGGAAAGAGATGAAGAAAGACTGAATGCGGCTACAGGACATCTCCACACGACTGTAGACACAGAACACAGTGGATGATGATGATGATGATGACACCAAGGTAATGGTTGGGTTATGGCCTGACTGTTTAGACCCAGTACTCAAAACAATAAACTAGAGGCTCCAAGTTGAACTCTTAGCATCGTTACGTAATAGATTTGACACATTTTGACATCTTTGACATTCTAATTAAATGTTCTTATAGCTCTTAGACATGTGGAATATTCCCTACCTGCACATCAAAACGGTAAACTCCTCCTTCGTCCGTCTTGCTCTCTCTGTCCAGCATCTTAGCAAGTCTGATCACTCCAGTGGTAGAATCAATGGAGAAGGTGCCATCATCTAAAATGAAAGATAACCGCTTTCGTCACAGTACAATATGCAATTGCACCACAAGTTCCACTGACCACTACTTTATTGTGACACAGGAAATGATTTATGATGGTGATTTATTTATCTATTCATGAAACTTTATTGCATGTTTATTCCCCGGGGGGATAAATGCATGGATGTACAGAGTACAGCGTACTAGAGAGTACTACAACAATAGTAATAAAGAAAGGCTAACATCAGGTCTAAGGTATACAATGCTAAAAAGAAATATATATATATAAAGTGGTATCAATCTAAGTTCTAATGGCTTCTTATCTCTTTATGAAACATTTTGAAATATACTTACATACTGCATTGATGGCGTCTTTATTTGTACATGATATGATATATTTAAAAGTGTCTTATTTTGATGACTATTCTTCTACATATATGTTAAAGCTTAAGTGATATAAGGTTTGTACGACGTAAGATTGTCATAGTTTGTACGATTGTAAATACCTAAATTTGTTGAATCAAAGTGATACCATATCAATCTGTAGATTCCGACATTTGTAATTTGTATTTACCTACTATTAATTAATGATTTATATTGTAAATAAGCATCAAAATTCAGCCCTGTATGCCAAGGCTGTGAGATAGGCTGTTGATATGTTGATACAAATAAACCAATAAATAGCTTAAAATTTGTTAGAAACCAGTAGCAGGTAATGCAAACTTCTTGTACTGTTGTGTAATTGGTACGTTTTATTTATTTCAGTTTTTTTTACACATCTCTAAAGGGGCAAGGGAAACAGGAGTTTCCCCTTTTTTGCTCCCAGACCAACATAAGTTGGAGTAACAGAGAATAAGAAGAAATAATAATCAATACAAACAGCATAACAATAATGATAATTGTGATAAACCGTTGTGTTGTACTGTTGTGTGACTGCAATTAATCTAGCATATTGCAATAACTGCAGCTTTTCAATAGCGCATCCTTTAGAAAATCAGCTCTATGCAGGTACCGATGACCTGTACTTATTTTTTTCGGGTAACTGAGTGTTGGTTACATGAGACTGATTATCTAGTGTGGCACGAGCCCCACGTGCTCCCTGTCTGCAGGCGCTTCCATTTTGTTTGGCTTTCCGCCTGCCTTCCAATGTCTCAATTAAACATGTGAGAGTCTGTTCGTAATTCGACGGACTCGAGTCGTCACTTGCGTCCCTACTGGCATTGCAAGCCATGATTCAAATTCCTCTATCACTGTCAAATTAATCAATCATATCAATATAATAAGAGCATATACATCTTACATCACCTACGTTTATTTAATGTGGGGCCTTGACAAAGAAATATTTTGTAACTTACCCCCTTCAGTAGAATAAATGATTGGATTATTGATGCCGTAGTCTCCATCTCGGGCATTGATAGTAATTATAGACGTTCCCTAAAAAGAAAAAAAAAACATTTAACCTGAAAGTTGATCTTAGTCCTCAGGAAAGATTACTCCTCACGCTTTTAAAGGTATAAGATAAGTCATTCTACACATGTCTAAATCGCTGGAAGGAACCTAAATATTAACAAGAGCTCCGAGATCTCATACCTCCATGAAATATGGCTCTGACATGTAAATGTAAATTTCTTCATTACTTTTGCAAATGACCTCCACATTAACATAATAAATGCATCGTGATGTTAACTTTTGATTTACTTACACATGTCCCAAGTATGAAATTCCTATCATTTAAAACTAAGGAGTCATAGAGTTTTCAGATTAATTATGAAAATTAGGTCAGTATTTGATACGAAAGATACAAAAACCGTAAGTTCTGCTGCAGTACTAAGGTCATCCACCAGGAGGCCCAAAATTGACCTTGACCTTTCCCTATCCAACACCTACGCACATACCAAATATCATTACAATCCATCCAAGGTTCAAAAGTTATGTTGGTCGCAAATGCCCGGAAACACAAACACACAGACAGACACACACACAGACAAGCCGAAAACAATACCTCCATTTTTCAGGGAGGTAAAAAGCACACACTTCCATAATAAGCATATCTCAGATAACTAAATCAGAGCACACCAGCCGAGACAGCCGATCATTACTCGAATGACGTGTCCCCAGGTCACGTGCTCGGACTAATTGAATCACTTCAATCCTTAAGAAGGTTAATGGATGTGACAGGTACACAAGCAAGGACAGTATGCTGAAGATGCTAGGGTGGCAAACGGTGAAAGACATGATCCATCAGAATGGACCGAGGACTTTCAGTAGAATAATGAATGAAAGACAATCTATTTCCCTGTGTAAGAACATCACATTACAGTCACATGGGTACAATACCAGAACGAATGCACAGAAAATGAGATTTTTGTATAGGATGGCTAGTGCCTGGAATGAAATCAAGTGGTGATGATGTGCATAGCCTTATTTTATTTTCAACCTTTATTTCAGCTTTAAAATGTACTGTACAATTGTGTAGCAGTACAACTCTTCGGCCTGAGCCGTTTTTCAAGAGGTCTGGGGGAGGTAGGTCAGGGGTCTTTGCAAATTCTTCAGTTCAGTTACAATTAGTCGTATAATTACAATATAAATATAAACAAAGTATGCAAAAAAACAAACACTATCTTGGTTTTTGGTATTTTGTAACTGTGTGACATGTGTGTCTTGAAGGATCACAGGAAGAATAGCTGCAATAATTGTTGTAAGATAAGTGTGGATCCCAATAAAGTCAAGTCAAGTCAAGGATGAGCGACCCAAACATCTCACCACTAGAGTGTCTTCGTTGACTTGTGTTGAGAAAGGCTGTCCCAAGAACAGAGGAGGCTGATCATCCTCATCAACAACATTCACTATCAGGACAGTGGTGCTGCTCTGGAAAACTTGGCTTCCTTGTAAGCTGCCTCCTCCATCCTAAAGCAAGAAGGCATATCGGGTGTTTAGGCCACACCAATTTAATTTGTTGCCTCTCTGATCGCCCTGTCCATTTTTTTCGGATATGCAAAAAAAATTGTTCTAAATTGACAAAATGCTCAAGGAAAGACATATTTTGGCCCCAATCTTTAAAAAAAGTCAATTTCTTTCTAGTTCTTCAAGTTTTTCAATGTAACAATGCAATTTTATTTCATTAAAAAGTTAAAAATCTATTGTTTTGATTATAAACCAGCCTGGCATGTCTCATTGTAACATTTCCTGCTATCATGGGGTGCCTTGGCCTGTTTTTTTTAATGTCACCCTGTCGCTTCATATTTTTTTAATAAAAAAGAATCCGAGAAACAACAAATTAAATTGGCCTTCTCTATACATGGAACATCAGGACTTCGATATTCATACCAATTTGAAAATAAAAATATTAGATATTTCATCTTGGAACAGATCTTATATGTGTAACAGTTAGCATTTTATAAATGCATTGACATTGACAATGCACGATTCATTTATCGGGCTTAGAGTTGAATAACTGTATAAATGAATAAGCACAAGCTTCCATAATAATTATATCTTAGATGTTCCTTTTCTCTTTTAATGGTTCAGTTCCTGAACGTTATTCAAGCAATGTAACGTTACAGGTTTTATTTACAGATATATGTCACATTATAATTATTTAGTGCTAACTTATTATGTCTACCCCCACATTGTAAGTCTCAAATTATTAAAACTACAACTTAAAGATTTCTATAAGCACACAAGACTTGCACAGACTCCATGTCAGTGAAAAGACATCAAACTAAACAAAAAAAGCATATAATATCAAGACAAAATATCGTACAGTAAAACAAAAAATAAACACCTTCGGTCCACATTCAGAGCACAAACAAACAGATACAAGAACAGTCCTGTTCCGTACATGATAAAACTACTAAACGAACAGTAACTTCTCCACATTTAGAACATTATTACCATGCATATTAATATTTGTAGGCCAAGGTCGCAGGCCTTCGTGCTGGTATGGATTACACGGGCGATGGTGAAATACACTCAACTCCAGGGCAGGAGTCCTTCAAGCTCAACCCAGTTACTGTAAAGGACGTGCAGAAAATCCTGGCAAGACTTCCAGATGGAAAAGCCCCAGGTCGGGATGGGATAGACAACAAACTGCTGCGGATGTGTTCTGACGTCATAGCAGAGCCTCTGACCTACATAGTCAACTTGTCATTTGCAACAGGAACATTCCCAGCAAAATGGAAACATGCCAAAGTGGTCCCACTCCAAAAAGACAACAGTAAACCACTATCTGGACAAAACTCTCGCCCTGTAAGCCTGCTGCCAACTTGTGGCAAGGTTTGCGAAATACTAGCCAGTAACCAGATTGTGTCATACTTCTCTGGATCCAGTCATCAGTCAGAAGCACAGCATGCATACCGGAAGTGTCATTCCACGGAAACTGTCCTCCTGAAAATGACAGATGAGTGGTTAGACAATATGGACAAGGGACTGATGACCTCAGTGGTATTGCTGGACTACAGTGCAGCTTTCGACTTAGTGGACCACACCCTGCTTCTGAAGAAGCTTGCAGTGTACGGGTTTTCCGCGGATGCGCTGTCCTGGATACAGTCATACCTATCAGATCGCAACTGGCAGGTGTATGCAAATGGAGCATACAGCCAAACACGAGTGCTACAATGCGGAGTGCCTCAAGGCAGCTGTTTGGGACCACAACTTTACAGTATCTACGTCAATGACATGGCAGGAACAGTAGAAAATGGGGAACTGGATCAGTATGCAGACGACAGTACAGTACATACAGCAGGGCATACCGTACAGGACATAAAAGCCAAGGCTCTTGTGGATTTAGAATGTGTGGCTAAATGGTCGGACTACAACAGGCTCAAACTTAACAATGGCAAAACAAAGACCATGCTAGTGGGAACTTCTAGGAAGACAAGGCTTGCCCCTGCTCTACAGCTGGAACTCAGGGGGCAGAGTTTGGAGCAAGTGCCTACCGTCAAACTTCTGGGAGTTCATGTGGACCAAAGCCTCACATTCGACGATCACATAGACCACGTAGTAAAGAAATGCAACAGGTGCATGGCCCAAGTGGGTAGGGTGAGAAAATCACTTCCGCGCAAACAGAGGGCAGCACTGATGCAAGCCCTGGTACTTTCCCACCTAGACTACTGTAGTTCAGTGTGGGCAAGTACGTCAGAGAAGAACATAAAGCGGCTGCAAGTGATACAAAACAGAGCTGCGAGGCTTGCCCTCGGATGCAACAGATCCACAAGCAAGGACGCTTTGCTGCAGATGTTGGGGTGGTTGCCTGTGAAAGAGAGGATTCAACAGAAAGACCTTTTGACTTTTCGCAAAATGATGGAGAACAGACAGCCTGTTTCCCTGTATAAACAGATCACGTTTCAGTCACATGGATACCAAACCAGATCAACAAAGTCACAAACTATCCGTCTCCCCAAACCTAGAACAAATGCTCAGAGAAAACGCTTTTTGTATCGGATGTCACAAACCTGGAACACTATGAAATTGTAGAGGCATGGAACAATGTGCAATAACTTTTGGAGAAATGTAAAATAGGTATTTTAGATATATGGCGGTCATGTAAGCTAGCTTTGTTTCTGTCACTTGGTGTTTTTGTGGAGTTTCTGTACATGTTTATGTCTGTATAAGTTATTTTATGTGTGTCAGGTGTATATGTTAATTGACCACAGGAAGAATAGCTGCAATATGAATTGTTAAGCTAATTGTGGATCTAAATAAACTCAAACTCAAATATTTGTAGCAAATGTCAAATTGTAAATAACCGTTATCTATTGTCAAAAGTATGCAATTCAGCCACTTTACCTGGCTGCGATGTACTTTTTTTATGGATCATGTTGATCAAATAAACCATTCAATCATTCATTCATTCATCCATCCATCCATCCATTCATTCATTCAAACTCTTACCTGAGCTCTGATTCGGAGTTGATACACAGATGATGTCTCGTAGTCTAGCTGTTCCTTTAAGTTCACAACTCCAGTCGGTCTGTCAACCTCAAACTTTGTTTCATCTCCAATCTAAAACCAAACAATCGAATTAGCACCACAGATTCAGATACTCTGATGGTTGAAGACACCCAATGCGATTTTAGGGCAGTTTTAAAAGTTGGGTTTTCAATGTGAATTTTCTGGTCATTTCTTCGTAAGTTTAATCAACCCTATCCCATAGCTAGCATACTTGTTTATTTATTTATTTATTTGTTTATTTCGATTTTTCACAGTGTGAAAGGGAGGGCAAAACAGGTGCATACGCACCTTTACAAGTTGCCCCCCCCCATACAAAAACACATATACAACATCATATACATCAAATTTTACATGGTCAATAACAATAAGTATAAAAATAAATCAATGTAGAAGGAAATTTTTCCAATAAGAAGTTATAATATATTCTTCAAAACGATCGGCTCCATTTTGAATTTTGAAATCGAAACAAATTATATATACTATTTCATGTACAGTGACTCACCTCAAGAAAGTAGGACACAGTCCCCCCTATCCCTTGGTCTGCATCAGTTGCAGTCACTCTGAATAAGCTGGTTTGTTGAATGTCATTCTAACAAACACAAGGACACAGGCCACTAATAAATCAGCAAATATCAAATTCCCCGTGAAACTTTCAAGTGTCGAAAGTATGAAATTCCCGGCAGTTACCACTTAGGAATAATAGCTTGTTCAATCGGTTCTTGAGTTATCGTCCTTCAAATATTCTTAAACAAGCGCCCCTGAAGTTCTAGGGCAAAAGTATGCATGGGCCAAATTTCCGTCGATTCTTCCTGAGCAAAAGACTCAATAGCTAAACTTCGTGACCCTAGCCTGTCAAAAACACGAGATTGGTAGTTTTGCTGCAGTGCCATAACAATCGGAACGGGGGGGGGGGTTCTGGCAAAATCTAGGTCTCATGAAAACCTGTCCACCCACCACATATCAAAGCAGTCCATCTCAGCCTTCTCGGTGTATCGTGTCCACACACAGACAGACAGATGCACACATCCTTACACAGACATACGCTGCCCAAAACTGTCACTTTTTGGCGGAAGGTAACTATGCAGAAAGAGATGATCAGACTGGCATAGACTACAGTTTTCGATGGCAGTAACTGATTACTGACTTTATTTTACCTTCGCCAAGAAGGTTATGTTTTCAGTAGCGTTTGTCTGTGTGTGTGGTTGTAACTATGCTTGTATGTTTGTGTGTGGTTTAGCAAGATAATTCGAGAAGCAGTGCATGGATTGGAATGAAACTTGGTAGGTGGGTAGGTCTTGATGAGACCTAGAAATGATTAGATTTTGGGACCCTGGCAGCTTTTCTAGGTACTGCAGCAGAACTTCCGGTTTTGATATCTCGTGATCTGGACATGCTAGGGTCATGAATGTTGAATGGCAGATAGCTCTTGGGCTAGGGAAGACGTGACGTGAGTTTGGTTGCAATAACAGCCTGTTCTGGAACTGCAGGATTTTGAAAACATTTTCGAAGGAGGATAACTCAAGAACCGGTTGACGGGTTGTCGTGATTTTTGGTATGTAGGTAATTGAAGTGATGCTTGACATAATTAGATATGCAAATATGCAAATCAGGAGCTAATTTGCATAATTAATAAGGAAATTCTATAAATCTGTTTTGATAATAGAACTATGACAGACTTGTGACATCTACTTGAGAACGAGAAAAAACATCCGAGGATATAGATTATTCAAATGAGGACCTAATTTGCGTAATTAATGGCAAATTTTTATAATATCATAGTTGTAACTGCTGGGGATTTCATACTTGCCAGATTTGGAAGTTAAGTGAAAGTGAACATCAAAAACATAATTTATTCAAATCATGACCTCATTTGCATAATTTATAGGGAAGTGCTATAATAGCCTTTTTGTTAAGATAAGGCTGTCATTGGGTGGAGAATATGATCAACTGATATAATCCATGCAAATGAGGCTCTTATTTACAAAATCAATGATTGAAATTATATAATTCGTCAACCGCAAGGGTTAACATCATTTGGCGAAGGTATGAGATCGTGGAACTCTTGTTTCTTTTAAGAGTAGGTGCAATGAGATCCGGATACAGACGAAGACTGCAGTTCAACTCACCTCATTGACATCCACTACATAGGGAACACCCTGGAACACTGGACTGTTGTCGTTGGCATCAGTTATGAAGATGGTCGGGTTCTGTTGTACCTAGGAAAGTGAAACATTTAGATACAAACACTAAACAATACAGTATGGACCTCATGGATCATCGTAATCGATGATTCACGGCTGAAATACCGTATAATGTAATATTATTAATTGATGTATTAATTGATGCTTAATGTGTAACTTTCTATGTTGATAAGATGAAAATAATAGTTGTATTTTATGTAAAGGACTCCAGGAAGAATAGTGATGTATATATTATCACTAATGGGAAATTGCTAAATAAATAAACAAATAAACAACAAACAAGCATATTTGGACCCCAGGCGTATATTTTTATGTGCTATTTGAAAATTTTTGATTCGAAAAAAAATCCCTTCCGTGAATTTGTCAATAAACCTCTACTTCAAGTTCTCCTGAATTTTTTCGGAGATTTGTAAAAAATTTGTAAAAATAAAAACGGGAAGTCTGATGTAAAACTGTTTGGGGTCCAAACGGACCCCAGCCATATTTTCGCACTTTCCTACACACGAAATTGTTTGGATGTCCTCAAAATGTCTTCAAGGAAGCATTGTTGCTTTAATATTATGCAGGTTGCCAAGTAACCTCAACCTCAGGCATTGGGACATCAGGTTTTCAGAGTTTTCAGACCTTTGACAACCATATGAGGTCAAAGGTCAACCCCATGTTCATACCTGTAGGCTTCAACCTATTTTTGCATAAATTATGATAATGAGCTGGAATTTTTACACTTAATTATGCAAACTTATACCTCTTACTATCGTTAACCAATGTATGTGCAAAGATCACTGAAAGAATGCAAAAAGGAGTATAAATTTAAAAGAAACGAAATGGGGTCCATTTAGACCCCGTTCGGGCATTAACGTTACAAAAAAAGTTCGGGTGTTTGAGGGTTAGGCCACACCAAGTAAATTTTATGGATGACGTCCACGCGCGCATTGATTTTGGCCTGTTCCTAGAAAAAAAACAAGAAATTCCGCTTCCTGTAACTATGACCAAAGAGTCACGACGGTGCTGCAAATCGTCAGATTGACGTTAAACCCGTAACGCGAAATGGGTAAAGAGCAAAAATGTGATGAAAGAAGCAGGACACGACGATAACTGCTGTTCCATCTGATTTATTGCTATTTTGATGGTGAATGAAATACTTCTTGCTTGTAACACTGTGTCACCTCATTCAATTTGTGTCCTAACATTTGTCGTCTCTTAGTATATTTCTAATCTAGGCATCTTGTTTTTTAGGGCCCTTCTTGTTTTTTTTTCGCCCTCTCGCATTAGATTTAGGGTCTCTAAAGGACGTCATCCATAAAATTTACTTGGTGTGGCCTTAAATTAACTGACTCGTTGTGCATAGTAGTGGTTACGAAGGCTACTGAAATTCCCTGACCCATATTGTAGGCCAGAATGGTTTGAACCACTCACATCGAGAAGGACCCCTACTCTTTTTGATAAGTCAAGTGTGACTCTCCTCTCTGAGGAGCATCGGTGACATGAAAGGATTCGAACCCCGGACCTCTTAGTTCTGAGCCCTTGAGTCACACGATCCCACATTCTGTCTTTTAGTATGAAATAAAATTTCCCTCGAATTGTTTTTAAACCCTTTCTGAACATGTATATATGTACCTTGAACGGCTAGGATTTTGAGTATTGGACTACGACTCTTTGACGAATCGGACTTTTATGTTTACTGTATGTTGTCTTACTGTACGTTACTATGTCCTGTGTAATTTTGCTGGGCCCCCTTGGAAAACAGCTGATTCAAGCTGAATTGGGGCTACCCAGCCGTCTTGAGATGAAATAAATAAATAAATAAATATATATGTGTGTGTGTGTGTGTGTTGATGCCCAATGATAATGAGTGAGTAAGTGAGTGAGTGAGAAAATAACATTTGATTCTAATTGAAAAGTATTCTTCAGTGAAATACTCTTTACTACGGGAAATGTGTGATTTTGACATAGACAAGAGTCAGTAAAGGGTCAATACATATCAACAATTAGAAATACATACCACTGGATTTGTCCCATCTGAGACTGTTACAGTAATCTGGTATTCATCTGTTAGCTGTAACATAGTGTAAGGAATCAAACATCACTGCTAAGTACTGTACAGTAATATTACTGAGCAAAATAAGTTCGAAAAAGTTCGAATTCGTTGAAATGCAGACTCAGAACTGTAATATGTATAATCATTCCTTCTTTCACCAGTCAATCAGACTCTATAACCAGACTACACAGATAGAGTCTGGCACAAGTTAATAGACCTTGTAAATATCTGTTTGTACACTTACTGTACTGTTTTATAGTTTTTGTAAATATATGATATTTGGCATTTTGTGTACATGTAAATATCAACGCCATTCAGGAAACATTGTATGCCATGTTTGTCTGTAATGTTTGGTGTCTTGATAACGAATTGGATTGAAGAATTGAATTCTATCTTTAAACTGAGAGTAGATCGTTTAAAAAAGAACATGACTTAATTTACTTAGAAAAAAATGTACTTTGAGAAAATTTGGTTACCAAACCATGGCATTAATTCTTCCAAATACCAGAGTTATCAGGATTAGATTTGGCTAAAGAAATGCTAATCTTACCTCTCTGTCCAACTGTGATTTCAAAATAACGACCCCAGAGCTTGCATTAACCATAAACAGGGTATCTGAAACTTGTCCCGAGACTCCATACGACAGGGTATCACTATCCGAATCAACTGCACTCAAGATGTACACTGTAGCCCCTGTCATGGAAGTTAGTCATCAGCATTACATACATCATAAATCATATTCATGAATCATATTCATTGACTAATTCAAAAAGTTAGTCATCAGCATTACATGCATCATAAATCATATTCATAAATCATATTCATAAATCATATTTATAAATCATATTCATAAATCATATTCATAAATCATATTGATAAAGTTAGACATCAGCATTACATACATCATAAATCATATTAATAATCACATTCATAAAGTTATTCATCAGCATTACATACATCATAAATCATATTCATAAATCATATTCATAAATCATATTCATAAATCATATTCATAAATCATATTCATAAATCATATTCATAAATCATATTCATAAATCATATTCATAAATCATATTCATACATCACATTCATAAATCAAATTCATAAATCAAATTCATAAATCATATTCATAAAGTTAGTCATCAGTATTACATACATCATACATCATATTCATTCATTTATTCGTTGTATATAATTTATTTATATATTTATAATATATTTAATTAATTTCCATACACTTCAGAGGTTGGGGACTGGAGGGTTTGCGTCACAAACAAGTCAACCTTCGAAATTCGCGGCAGCCGCAATGCATCGGCTCCTGGTACCTGTGAGCTATTAATTAACTCCAAAGTCAATATTCCCTTTCTGTAATTGCAGAATATCTCTTTTCTAAAAATTTAAAATACATGTATATATCGTCTTATAATGATTACTTCCCATAAAAGAGATAAAATGGCTAGAGGAATGCAATTAAAAAATGGTCAATAATGACATGTGAGTCATAGTACTCATACCATTTGCTTTTATACTCTCCTCAACTATGCAAAATAGCGGAAATCAAGTCTTGATTTACATACTTTATGCATGATACACCTAAATTCAATTCCTCCTTTAATGCTGTATATCAAATTTGATGTTTAGCTTGTGATATTACTCTTACCAACTGCTGTGTCTTCAGGAATTTGAAGATAGTCCATTCCTGCTGTGAAGATTGGGGGCTGGTTAGCCTGCGCACCTGACAAGAGACAAAAAAAAAATATTCGGAGATCTCATACCTCTATGAAATATGTTTTTGTAATTTTCTTTATTCGTCTTATTGATTATGTAAATAAGGCCATAATGACCACTATCTGTTTTTTTAATTTATGGTTTCCTAAATTCAGATTTTGCTTGTGAAATTCCTAATAATAGTATGCTTTGGCAATGTTTCATTTCAACATGTCCTCATGCATTCTGAAATTGACCTCATATTAACATACTATATGCATAGCAATGTCATTATTTGCATAATTAGTATCTGTTGAAGTTCCACCTGTCATAGATTACATACATTAAATGTATGAAAGTACTATTATGTAAAACACTAAACATTCCTCCTTTTGTCCTTTATTATGCAAATTGAGTCTTCATTTACATGATTTGCATGTAGTTATGTACATCTCTTACTAAGCTACCTACAAGCCAAAAATAATGAAAATACGTTGTTCCTTTCTGGACTTATTCGTTTTAAAAGATTTCACCCGAAACTCTCCTGCAGTTCCAGAGTTTTTTCAGGTAACATTCCAAATTCAACGTCAACGTCAAACAACAAACAAGTTTATTTTCATACCTAGCACTAGCACACCTAGCACTAGCACACCTAGCACAAGTAGCATAGCTGTGTACAACTCACCTGTACTAAGAAGAATGCATAACAGCACGACCACAACTGCTTGTCTCCACAACATGGTACTGATATTTCTTGTATTTCTGAAATGTAAAAGCCTACTATTTAGTCTAACGTCTTACAGTATCTCACCCAGAAACGCTTGTCGTCTATCGTCTATGTAAATAAGACGCTTGCTTCCTAGATACTATATTGAACCAAGGAGGTTTAACCTTCTTGATTGAAGAAGAAATCGGAGAGTTCAGCAGACTTCAGGGAAGTCACACACACACACACACACACACACACACACAAACACCTACACACAGACACACACACACAGACACACACACACACACAGACACACACACATGAATACATACACACGCACACATACACACGCACACACACACAGACACACACACACAGAC